CCACTAAACCTCTAAAAAGTGGAGAACAATGATTTAGTGACTGCTAGGTTGGGGGCGTGGAAAGAGTTGATCAGAACAATCAAAGAGGAAACTAGATTAATGCCATTATCGGATGCTTGGATGATGGGGAAGTAATGCCAATAGCGAGAGAAAAATGGAACTTGCTTTAGAAAATTGAGAAAGTAAGCTATTTTCATTATAATGAAGGATGAGTGGTTTTCACTGTACGTGCAGAATTATTTTCAAAACATAAAATTGTCCTGAAAGGCTGGTCACTGTGGGTGCAGGAGGATGGTGGGAAGGAGAATAGCCAAGGACTAGCTCATAAAAGAAAGTCAGAATGTGGGAGGAAATTGTAACCTGAGGTGGAAAAGTCTTGATTAATCATTAAACTCAGGACTTTCCAGAGTCAATACTTCTCTGCAAAGAGTTGAAGACTCAATGTCCCCCTGTCATGACACTGATACTTAGTGGTGAGGGTTAAGGAAGTGCAGGAGATTTGAAGCATGAACAAGCATGTGCTTCTGGCTTTTGAATGGGGTAGTCATGAAGCAACTGGACTTCAGCAAAGATGGTCCCTCTTGGCTATCACACTCCTGCAGAGAAGAGGTCAGGTACCACCTATGACCTGCAGATGAAGAAACCAAGCATCCCTAATGGTAAGGTAAATAAGACGGCAAGAAACTACTGGGGCAAGACTAGGACTTTTAAGGAAGCAAAGATGCTACCACAGGAAACTGCAAGACAGCCTAAGGCTCCAGGAGAGTTTTGGGGAGGAGGGTGAGGTGCTTTCCTCCTTGAGAGCCCAGGGATCAGGACAGATATGCCACCATGTCAGCAGATGATACACATGTGCTGGATGATGGAATCAGGTTAAAAATTTTCTTTTAACACCATGACAGAATAAAATGCAAGGACATATTTGGAAGATAAATTTGGTTAAATGCTCTCTTACTAGCCAAAAGTTTGGCAGTTTGAATCCACCCAGAGGCACCTTGGAGAAAGATCACAGCCATTGAAAACCCTTTGGAGCACTAGTCTACTGCTCTGTTTCTACTCTGAAACACATGGTGTCACCATGAGTTGGAATAGACAGTAAGGCAACTGTTTTTTAGTTATGTAAGTACCCATACTTTAATTTTTTGTAAAGAAGTGGTTACTTTTTAGGATAGGTGGAATGTGACTTAGCACATGATAGAGAGTCTTGGAGGTTTTAATTATTTGTAAGTGTAATATATCATTAGTGTCTTTTAGTCACCACAGAGTTCCTCTACCCCAACACACACACGTGTGTGCACACTTTGGCGTCCTGGGTTACGTTAAGAGAAGTGTACTGATGATATATCTAGAGGACAGAAACCGAGATGAGAGACTTCAGAACCATCTCACAAAAGGAACATCTGGAGGACATGGAAATATTTAGTGCAAAAATAGCAACCAGATGGATCTGAAGATGGTTGGGCATTCACTAGAATTAGCAGGCTTGAAAGGATCTCAGGGAGATCAGCTTCAGCTAGGATGATCTTCCTTTCTCTGGGAGAATACCATGCAAGCTCTGGGTTAGGTATAAATTTCCACCCCTCACCTGCTCCAGAAAGGACCTGAACTGTGTGGTGCCTAGTCAACAGGTCTGCTTAATTCTGATAGTGATTCAAAGATTGTGACATGGCAAACAGCCAGCAGGGAGTCCCCTTGCATGACTGCTCTCCTACTGCTTCCAAGAGTCCGTGAGCCTCAGGAGGGAGATTCTACAAGTTTCCTACTTAACAACATTGTGCAAGAATATTATTACGGCAAGGGATACTGTTTGCTCTATTTTTAATTTTTTTTTCTATTGCAATGTAATATTGTCTTCTCTTGTTTAATCCTAATGAAATGGGGATTCGCTTACTGCTGATGTCTTTATCATGATATTTTATTTATTTGAATTTTATTTTAGGCTATTCCTCTGTTTTCCTTCTCTAGAATATCTAGAATTATTCTTTTTATCCACTTATGAATCAGCTAAGGTGGAATTGTGAAAACTCTGACAGGGTTTCTTCCATTTCCCAAGCATCCTCTTGGGTCACCATTCTCCGTTATCTTGGAGACACAGGTTCTGAGAATGAAATCTCAGGCCAACCTTAGCCCACAAGAAGCAAAATTGAGAAATCTGTCACTCTCTAGAAATAGAATGTGATTTCCATTAATTATAGAAATTGTCTTTGGATTGATCATTATTTTAGTGATCAACCTAAATGTGATATTTCTACATACTTTGCACGAACATACCAACACAACTTAAGGCTGGCTGTGCTGTTAGTCTTTTCACGTTGGTACTGGTTTCCTGCAGACCTTGATTACTTGTAGTTATTTTATTCCATGGCCCTCTGAAGATATGAGCACTGGAGCAGACGCAGTCCTACAGTAAGAACAAGTCTTTTCCCTGTTCTCAAATTATTGTAGGGAACTTAACTATTTAGGTGACCCTAGTGGTGCTGGTGCAGTAGTTGAGTCCTCAGCCGCTAACCGAAATGTTGGCAGTTAGAACCCCCCAGCCACTCGGTGGGAGAAAAATGTGGTAGTCTGCTTCCATAAAGATGGCAACCTTGGAAACCCTATGGGGTAGCTCTACTCTGTCCTATAGGGTTGCTCTGAGTCGGAATGGACTTGATGGCAATGGGTAACAATTTAACTTTGAGAAGTTACTGAAAATTGTCACCAAGGAGAAGGCTGCCATCTAAATTTCAAGCTGACACACAGACAGGAGAGAAGGGGTGAGCAACAGACTACTAGAAACCTTATCAAATTCAAGGTTATCCACTGTGAGTTACGCTAACAAAAGGTGTTTTTTTCTGTATGATGGTCTTTCACTGATTCAGCAAAGATTTAATAACTGACTACCATATACTCAACATTGTCAGACAGCAGTAAGCAAAATACACAAAATCCCTGACTTCGTGGCACTTACAGTCTAGCAGAGTGGCAGACAATAAACTAATAAAAGAGTTGCCAGATGTTGATAAGTGCAATGGAGAGAAATAATTGTGGAGGTGGTGTTGTGGGTTGTTCCTATTATGTATTAGGTGGTAAGGGAAGGCCTTCCTGACAAGGTGGCATTTGAACCGACACCTGAAAAACATCAGAGGACAAGCCATGCAGATATGCAGGAGAAAAACATTCCAGGCAAAGGGAACAAGCAAGTGCAAAGGCCTTGAGGCAGGAATGTGCCTGGAGTATTTGAGGATTAGCAAGATGGATTTGTGGCTTAAGCAGAGTGGGCAGTGGGGAGACTAGCAGGAGTTGAGATCAGAGAGATAGTAGGGGGCTAGATCAAGATGAGGACTTGGGCCAGACTTCATGAGACAGGATGCCAGTAGAGAGTTGGAGCAGAAGGAAGGCGTGACTTGACTTGCAATAGGCTCCCTCTGGCTGCTGTTGTGAGAACAGCCTATAGGGGGAGCAAGAGCAGAAACAGGATAACTTGGAGGAGGCTATTGCAATCATCCAGGCAAGAGATGGTGGTGGCTTGGACCCAACTTCTTGTGGCAGAGGGGCGAGGAAGATTGCATTCTGAATACATCATGAAGGAACAGCCTAAATATTTCGCTGATGAATTTGGGGTAGGGTATAAGAGAAAGAATGGGTATGAGAGAGAAAAGTCAAGGATGACTTAAAGTTGTTGGGCTTGAATAATAGGAAGGATGGAGTTGCCTGAAATGGGGAAGGCTATGGGAGGAGCAGGTATGAAAGAGAAGAAATCAGAAATTCGACTTTGGACATATTGAGTTTGAGGCTGGGTGGCGCTAATTGTTAACATGCTCAGCTGTTAACCAAAAGGTTGGAGCTTTGAGTCTACCCAGAGGCGCCTCAGAATAAAGGCCTGGAGATCCACTTCCAAAAAATGAGTCATTAAAAACTCTGTGGAGCACAATTCTACTCTGACACACATGGGGTTGCCATAAGTTGGAGTTGACGTGGCAACTTTTTTTTTTTTTAAATTTTATTAGCCATCCATGTGGAAATTGAAGCAGGCAGTAAGAGAGACAAGTTTAGAGTCTGGAGAGGGTGAGAAATAGAAATGTCAGCATTGTCAGCATCTCTAATACCTATAAAGCCATGAGACTGGATGAGATCATCCAGGATCAACTGGATAGGGAAGGACTGAGGCCTGGGGCCCTCCAATATCTAGTGGTCGAGAGGTGGCGGATCCAGAAAGGAATTCTCCGAAGGAGCAGAGGAGACTCTGAGAGAAGGGTCACAGAAGCCAAGTCACTGAGAACACATTATTGTTGACTTTTTTTTTTTGGTTAACACTTTCTTTAGATAAGTATCATTGAGTCACTACTTTATACTAGTAAAACACAATTATACGAGTTCATCTATCTACAAAAGAAACATTCTATTCTATCAAGAAAGCACTATGAATAGATGATAGGATTGTGACTGTTCTAGCATTTCAATAATGCATTCTCCTCTGCTGCTGGGATAAGCCTTAGAATTTTACCATATGTACCAAGAACTATAAAATTTATATATCAGTACTGCCCTGAGGTAGAGTCTTGGGGGAATTTTCACCTATATCTGCCTAATGTGGCTGCTTCTCAAGGGGAATGTTCTTGGTTTAGCTGTATGTTTATTTTTGCATATATTGTTCTGCTACCTTCGATTTTCAGAATCACTTCCAAATCTATTCCTTCTTGCTTTGGATTTTTGCTCTCTTTCTTTATGGCTTATTAAAGAATAGTCTCTGAATTAACGAAGGTCCCCTTTCAGTACCCCTCATAACCTGGGAAGGGTCATTTCTACACCGACTACACCAATGATAGTAACATATACAACAAACATCATGCTCACATTTGATGTTTGGAAGATTTATTGCCAAGATGCAAGTGCCTTATAAAAACAAAGCACTGATAGAGACATCATATTTTATTAAAAAGACAAAGGAGGAAGTTGGAGAATATTTATAAGTCAGGTACTTTGAAGACAAAGTGGGACAAAAGTCTCTTCTTTTGGCTTCATTTCTTTTCCTCTGTGAGTCTTGAAGGCGATCTCTCGCCGTCACTTCCTTGTACATGTTCACCCCTTTGCAGAATTATTTTAATATCCTAAGAGAAAAAAGTTCAAAGAGAAGTTACAAACATTAATAAATCATTTAGGATTAATAATCACTTAGTATGTGGCAGTGATTGAACAGTAAGTTTTTTTTTTTTTTCCTTTGGGAGAACTGTTCCCCATTTAGCTTGACGCCTGGCCTGTAACTTTTAGTTGCACTGTTGGAAAGGTATCTAAAATCTTGGAGCCTCCATTCCATCTAATAATGGAGTTAGCATCATATTAGATTCAATGACATTTGTAAAAGCAATTAAACAGAGTCTGGTGCATAATGAACAAGCCCAAAGATTAGTTATTTTCTTAGTAATGAATAAAAAACAGTGTTCACCTTCTATCAAAGGAAAATTCTAATGCTAAATTAATAATCTCCATGGATTTGTAGAATTGTAGAACAGCAGATTGTTATTTCTGGGATTGTTTATTTTCTCCATTTTTTTTTTTCAATATTAAGGATAGACCATTCTGCTTTTCATCTGCCTCAAACGTCTACTTATCTTACATTTTATATCACAAATAGTTTCCAAACAAATTTTAAAAATTATTACAACGTATAAGGGGTGCAAATACAGGTGTAAAATATGGAATTACATTTATGTAGCTTTTAGTTTTCTTTATTTCACAAATTTAGGGAAGTGCTTTAGAAACGTTAAGTTTTCTTTCTTCAGAGCTGAGTTCCAAAGGTTTCGGTTTGACTGTGGTCATTTTACTTATGCCGACATGAGCTAGTTCACCATCTAAGCTGTCTCCCGCCAAGTGACATTACACGTTGCATTTATCAGTCACTGTCAGGAATCATAGTGAATCATTTTCCCAAGAAACCTTGCTCTTGGTTAACTTTGAGTGAATCATGCAGAAAAGAGAAGCTGGCCTCCATTGAGCCCTCTGGTCCTTCCCACGGCTGTCCTTAACACCATGTCTTCTCTGAATACTATATTTATAAGAACTAATACTGAGCATTGAAAGTTAGCTTGGTGATTAGAAATGAGTTGACTTGTGACTATCTGACACTCCATAGTATAGGAAAAATTATAAACTCCAGATATATTTAAAACAGCCTTGGCTAAATTTATAGCTGAAATCAGGGACCACAATTTTCAGTAGCAGTTAAGGGGGAACCTTGACAGAGTCAGAAAACAACCACCAAATTTTGTTATAAAGATAAAGAAGATTGGAGAATATTTTTTAAGTCAGATACTTTAAAGACAAAGCAGGATCAAATCCCTTCAAGTCAACCTATAGTAAGTATTTTCCTCATGCAATTGGGTCCTGATTGCTTTGTTTATGAGAAATTCTCCTGTGACATTCTGTTTTTAACACTGAAAGTTTTATTGCTCTCTCTTATTGGATGTAAACCTTATTCTTAAAGCTATATGCTTGATTTATAGGTTTGCTGAAAGAAATGTACATTCATGTATTAATCATAAGAAAGAACACTTGTTAGATTGCATAGAAAATTGTTTGTTCACTTACATTTCTGAATATATTTGTCATAGGAAATTGACTTTGCTCACCAACAAGCCAGTTACAACGCTGATCTTGATACATTTAACTAAACCATTCTCTTAATTATTTGGGACTATTACTTGAAAATCACCTCCTTGTATAAGGTCTAGGAAGTAGAATTAAATAAATGACTTGAACTGAATAACTATAAAGCTCAACACAAATGCTGGCTCTCCCACATAAATACGGGCCACACTGAGCTTCCTGGAACCTGGGTTTGGACCCCAAGTTGGATACTAGCAGGTCTAAGCTTTGTCATCGTGGTGTGCACCAGTGAAAGTTCCTGTCCCTCCAAAGAGAAGACACTGCATTCAGGAGATGAAATGCCAGCTCATCAGTCCATCCAGATCAAAGTTCACATGGCTCAGAAATAAATCTTGCCCGTGAAACTACCTAGAGTCTAATAATAATAATATTAACATTACCTCACATTTATTGAGTACTTTCTATCTGCCAGGTACTGAGCTAAGTACTTCATGTGGAGTAACTCATTTAATTCTTACAAGAACCCAATGAGGTAGGAATGATAATTATCCCTATTTTACAGACGAGAAAACCGAGGCTCAGTGAGGCCACTTGCCCACGGTCACACAGCTCCTGGGTGTGAACCCAATCAGTGTGACCCAGAGGCCACTGTCATAACTTCAAAGCCAGGCTGCCTCGCAATAGGCGCAAAACTAAAACATATAATAATTACGCATATTGAGTTTTCTCAGATACACATTTTAAAATGTTGCTGCTTCTAAACCCGAATCTCGTAAACAGAGCTGTTGGGCAACAGCCCTCGCTTCCCACTATCTGTAATAACAAACAACATTTCAACCTGAAAAACCACACTCTAGCTTTTGCTCTGCTTATCTAGAAAGATCTTCAAATAACATCACTGTGGTTAAAGTTCACTTTAAAATGTGATATATTTACTTGTACATGGATATCTGGAGAACAGAAATGATGACAGGATGAATGTGATGTTAACAAAAATGAGAACCGAGCACTTTACTGGAAAGGGAAGTGCTTTCACTTCACAGTGTCAGGATTTGGGCTTCCCAGATCACACACACACCTCTCCTTGTTTCACAGGCATGTGACTGAGTCACGATGTGGGAGCCACTGTCCTCTCATCAGAACCCTCGGTGGAGTGACAGGGAGAAGATGTGAAGGATAAAGGACAAGGAGAGTGAGTGTTGAAGTAGCTGACTTGGGTATAGCTTAAAGAATCACCCTGGCAAAGAACTAACCAGCTAGCTAACTAACTCTCTTTCTACTATGAAAGTGTCAGGTGATACTAGTACTGTGGAGACTGGTTAACTAGGGGTCAGACACTCTCCAGCTGGTGGCTTTCAGTCGGAGAAGTATCACCTAGCTGGGAGATTTGGAAGTGTGAAGTGGTGTTTTTTGGTGGTCAAAATGTCAGGATGCTCCTGGAACATAGTGAATGGGGCCTGAGATGTTAGACATCCTGCCGGGCTCAGGACAGTCCCACACAAGGAGGAACTGTGCTGTCCCCAATGCCAGTAGTACCTGAGATGAGGTACAATCCAAGTTGATACAACTCCCTCCGAAATGAGGAAAATACATGAATTAAAAAGAGCCCTGTTGGCTCCATCTTTCCCTGAGAAGGGAGCTGATCCCCTAAGGCAGTCGTACGTTGGCTGTTTTCTTTTCTCAGGCAAAGAGCCTAATAGCATCTTCTCTGCAAATTAATTATATTTAGTGACTCTGACCAAAGTGAGGATCTTCCCAAATTGTCATGAGTTTGCAGGAAGTTTTCCTCCCATCATGCGCTGTGACTGCGGCATCGTTTTATGTGCCCACTTGTTCTTGCTAATATAAGATAAATCCTACTGTGCACAATTCCAAAAGATTTTGCAAATTATTTTGCAGATTCAAAATAAAATGGCTATTCCCTGGAACATGAAACAGTTTGTAGAATGAAGTGTAGGAGAATGTGATTGGCCCATGGGTGCCGCTTTATACAGAATGGCGTTTGCTGAGAGGAAAGTAAAGGGCAGCAGATCCTGGCACATGTGATTCTCCTCCATCCTGCACTGTGACACCGACTCGCCCTTCCTCTCTAGCTGTCTAGTTCTGATGGGTCTGCACAGGCTGCTGAGTGTCTAGTTCTGATGAGCTCTGTCTTCACTAATTCTAGAGTTGCACTGACTATGCCTTCCTCAGCCTAAGTGGAGAACTAGTGAACCAGCAGTTACTGTCGAGTTGATTCATGTGGAAAAAAAAAGCCGGTCTTTATTGATGAAGTATGAAATACAGGAAAATGTAATGCACAAGTTCCAATGCAAACAGTGTTTATTGAGTGTATGAATGTACTGAATGTATGAAATTATGTCTAACAGGATTTATCCTATATTAGCAATAACTTGAAATAACTGGAAGAGTGTTTCAAATATTTTGGGTTTATTTAAATAAAGAGACACAATTTTTTTTTTTTTTTTAAAAAGGAACCCTATTAAAAGCAGAAACATAATGATATCACATGGTTAGGAAACACACACTTAGGGATGAAGAAATTAATATTATACGATGCTCCCGCTCAGAAGCCTATCAATTCTGCATTGCTTTTCAGTTCAGCCCAAATTTCCCCTTGTGACTTTGCTCTTTGTAATTTTGCCTGATGTACTAGTTTAGCATGGTCACTGCAGCCTGTACAGACCTGCTCTTCAGTTGGGTCCAGCTCACACTCCTCCCATGTAGTCCTGCTCCCACCCATGAGTCTCTCACCTGGGACATTGTCTCCTCCCCACCCACAAGCAAGTCCCTGTAGACTTCCTCCCCTTTCCCTTCACTTTCTAGAACCCTGGCCATCTTATTTCTTCTTCAGCAGACCTCCTCCATGCAGCTAGCACAAACAAATATCGTATGTTTTGAATTCCTATAATTATGCACTCGGTTGGTTTACCTTATAGCATTCTCTTATAATTCCTGCATGTAAAAATGACTTTGCAAACAGGAGTGGAATTTTCTTCAGAGCACCAACTGCGTTTGGTACTCATGTTCTCTCTTCCGCAGAACTTTATACTATCGGCCTCAGTACTGTTGTTGTTGTTAGGTGCCACTGAGTCGATTTTCGACTCATAGCGACACCAGTTGACTGAGTAGAATTGCCCCATAGGGTTTTCTTGGATGTAATGTTTATGGGAGCAGATCACCAGGCTTATCTTTCTCAGAGTGCAGCGTGGTTTCAAACTACCAGCCTTTCTGTTAGCAGCTGAGTGCTTAACCATTGCACCATCAGGGATCCTTGGTCTCAGTACCAAGTTCTCAGTATTGAATAGTAATCATAATAGCCACCATTTCTAAAGTGCTTCCCTTGTGCCAGAGACCATGCCAACCGCTTTACCTGCACAATCTTATTTAATCCTCACCACAATCCTTTATATATGTATAACTATTATCCCCGTTTAACATATCAGGAAGGCAGGATGAAGAGAAAGTTAAGGTCAGGTAGCTAGTGAGTGGTGGACCCGAGATTTGATTCTATTGCTTTCCGATTCCAGAGTCTGTGCTCTTAAATGCTGTAATCGTACTTCACTACTAAATGGATCTAGTGTCTCAGCATGTACTAGCTTGTTAGAAATGAATTCCAATTATTACTAAAACAAGTGGCGAAATTTATATTAAAAAGTTAGCAATTTAGAGCCAATAGAGTTTAGCCACAAAGATCTAGAAGTCGGGATAGTATCATTAGTGGGCATAGGAAGAAACCTGCAAAAGGTAATTGGTTATCACTGAAAAGTCAGGAGTAAATGCATCTTTGATAACTTGTACTTTATAAAAGTGAAAGTGCTTTTATCGGAAATTCAGCACATCCTTTGTAGTCCAAAAAAATGACTGCCAGGAGTCTAATAGGGAGACTTCCTGATGCTAAACTGGTATCAGAGAGGTGTAACAGCTTCCCACACGCTGAAAAGGGGCTGGTCTCAGCCTCTGCCTTCCTTTGCCCTGGCTGTTGAAGACCCATGGACATGCATTAAGCATGCGTGGTTGAGACTTGCTGTGTGATCTCTGAGTTGCAGGTTCTTCCTTTCTTCTGCTGGGTTGGCCTAGTCTCTATGGGTTTCATCCTCAGTTTCCCCATCTTGCCCACTGATTTCCTGGTAGAAATGGCACTCAACCTTTCATATGCACTGTCACTTCCACTGCATAGACAGTGTGTATTATGATTAGAGTACACTGCATATGTCAGCACTTGGCTAAAGACTATGGTCTGAGCTAGTTCTCTTTGGCCAGAGGGATCTTATTCTCCATACTCTTCAGTCATGGGCTGGCATCCTTAGGGGGCTGCAATGATTCAGAATCTGATTACTCCACCCCCTGGTTTTAAGTGTCACCCTCCTCTGGCTTTCTGTTGTAGACCCAGTGGGTAGCCCCACGGCACTGATGAAGCAGCCCCATGATACAGATAGCTGCCTGACTATGCCTGAGCTTGTGGCCCTTTGGGTATTGTGGGCTGGCTTTTCTGCCCTGATGCTATTACTGGCTTAGATTCCCTGTTCTGGCCCTGTTCTGACTGAGTTCAGTTTCTTCTTCCTCCCTGCTAGCCTACATTAAAGATGTCCTAGCATGTCCTGAACCTGCACCCAACCAAATTAGGACAACTTTGGGTAATACTTACAGGCATTTTATAGTCTGAATAATTTGAAATCAGGTCTTGAATAAAAGGATGCTTCAAGAGAACAGCAACTTCAATTGGCTCCAGATTCTTGGCACCTAGGTCCTGAAATATTTTTATGAAGTTCTTTAAAGAAGAAAAAAAAATGAAGTTAATTAACTTTAAAAATCCTGTAGATGTTAAAATTCTACTTACTAAATGAATGTGTCATAACTTCTATGCAATGATATATTTTGAGAACAGTTCCATGAAAATATGCTCAAAATTTGAGGGCAACTTTCCTTATGTACAGGTGGCCCCTTCTACAAAACTAATGTAACCAACCTCATAATAAATGTTCTCTGCCTTTAGGTGGCTGGCGAATCTGTCACAGTCTTGTGCTTCGATTCCTCCTTGGAACACTTTGAGTAGTGTTTCAATGGAAATCTTTTCAGTGTTTACATTTTCGGGTATTTCTTCTTCCTTTTCCTCTTTTAATTCCCTCTCCTCTCTTATATTTTCCTCAGGTTCAGGAGATACTCCTACTGGACTCATATCAGTAAAGGAGAAGGTCTACAAAGTCCAATGAAGAGAACATGAAATAAGACTGAATGAAGTCTTGGCAACAACAGAGGCATTTAGAAAACACCAAGTTCATCACACACTTTCCATGCAGTGGAATCATACTGCCTACCATAAACTAGCTAAACAAAGTTTAGAAGAGAATATGCTAGTTGCACTGGAAGTGACAGTGATGAAATCCTAGACCAAGTCTGCTCATGGTCTACAAGAGGCCTCAGTGTGAGATGTGTTCTATTCATTCTATATACACTCTTGGGCTTATTACACTGCTGGGTACATCATATTCCTCACTCAGCTGACACTGGGATGAGTTAGCGCAGACTTCTAAGCATAAATGTAGCTTTTAAATAGTATTTGCTTTTGAAAGTTGATTGCAATTGAAAGGTAATGGTAAGTTAATTTCTCAAGCTTGATTGATTCTAAGAATTTCAGGAACATTTCTTTGGATACTGGTGGCTAATCCAACGAAATACTTAAAGGCAAAATGGAAAACTTGAATATAGAAAATCAGGTTGAGACTTTCATTGCTGCTCTTTGAAATCTGGCCAAGAGCCATGAACTTAGGTATTTGCATTTTGAATTTGGTAAAGACTGAATTCCGTCAGAAGTAATTTATTATGCATCAAAAATCCGAAAAATATCCCTACCATTTGACTCAGTAATTATAGATCTAAGAATTAATCCTAAAGGAATATTCATATGCACAAATATTTTTATATATGGATGTTCATTCCATATTATTTACAGCAAAAATAGAAAACCTACATTTCCAAGCATGAGCACTGGTGACACGAATTATAATACATTTGTGATAAAATTCTATGCAGCCATGAAAATTATGATTTAAAAGAATAGCCTTTTATTTTTTAAAATAACGGTATTAGAAAACACATATTAAATGCAAAAAAGGATACAGAACACAAAATAATAAATATACTAGGATCCTAATCTACTTATATGTCTATGTTTATTATATGAAAAAAAGAAAGGAGATACTGCACATTAAAAAGTTAACGGTGGCTACCTCTCAATAACGGAATATTTTATTTCTTTTTTCCTTTGTTTTATACTTTCTAAATTCTCTACAGTAAATCTCTCCCTCCTCCGTCTATATGTGTGTACTTGTGTGTGTCTGTGTGTATATATTTCTGATGACGAGGTAACCAATATTTGAAAATGAGCATTTTGGAATGCTAGCTGGCCAGATGGCAGAGAACACCTGAGTAGTGATTCTCTTTTAACCCCAGGAAGGACATAGGGTTTTGCTGATGCTAATTCAGGTTTAAAAGAAGAGGAGGGTGCCAATGTCTGTAAACTCTGAATTAAGTTGAAGCATTAAGTGCATAGATTGTATAAGTGCTTTCCAAATAGCCATGTAAGTCCCATGTATAAAAGGATTTGGCACAGCACAAACTTTAAGCCCCTGGTAGTCATATGTTCCTGTTAGAATTCTGGAGGGGTCATGGACCGTAGAAAGAACAAAGACAGGTTGCATTTGCTCTAATTTGGATTTCTATATCCTTTGCTAAATCATACATTTAACCAATCTCAAAGAGAGTGAAAGTAAGAGAAAACACTCTACAAGCTGAAGATTTAGGAATTAAGTATAAATATATATGCATATATTGGTATATCTATACATGTGTACACACACACACACACACACACACACACACACACACACATATACACACACATACATATATATAGATATGGAGCCCTGGTGGCGCAGTGGTTAAGAGCTCGCCTGCTAACCAAAAGGTCAGCAGTTCAAATCCACCAGCTGCTCCTCGGAAATTCTATGAGGTAGTTCTACTCTGTCCTATAGGGTCTCTATGAGTTGGAATTGACTCCATGGCAACGGGTTTGGTTTTATGGTTGTATAGAGATATACACACACACATACATATAATTGTTGTTAGTTGCTGTCGAGTTGATTTCGACTCATGGTGACCCCATGTGTGTCAGAGTAGAACTGTGCTCCATAGGGCTTTCAAGGTTGTGACCTTGTGATCTTTTGGAAGTAGATTGCCAGGCCTGTCTTCTGAGGTGCCTCTGGGTGGGTTCAAACTGCCAACCTTTTGGCTAGTAGTTGAGCACTTAACCATTTATGCTACCTATTTATACACACACACACACACGCATGCACACACACACATATATATCCAGTCTATCTCCATTCTAAAAAAATTGGAAATACTACATGGCAGAAATGTGAAATTAGCGTTTTGTCTCCACCTAGGAGGCTTGGGGATCATGCCATGGGTACCTGTCAATAATTTCCTGGGGCAAAAGATCACTTAGTATAGTGAAAAGAACAAGTCGAAGTGTAAAACATCATGCTGAGTGAATGAAGGATGCATAGATTTCTATTCAGAGTGCAGCATAGATGCTCTGTGCACAAAATACAGAAAGAACCTGTAGGCTGGTGAATGACTAGGCCGGTTAGATGAGCGGGGATACCAAAGTTACACAGTGAAGGAACCTGGTCCCTCTGAAGCAATTCTGTAATTGTTGTGTGCTGGTGAATCGATTCTGACTCATAGAGACCCCATGTGACAAAGTAAACTTCCCCATGGGGTTTTCTTGGCTGTAATCTTTATGGTAGCAGATCGCCAGTTCTTTCTCTTGTGGAGGCCTGGGGTGGGCTCAAACGGCTGACCTTTCAGTTAGCAGTTGAACACTTAACTGTTGGAGGGACTAATTTTTCAAAGAGGACATTAGTGATTCAGTGGTAGAATTCTCACCTTCCATGAAGCTAGATCAGGGTTCAGTTGCTGGCCAATGCACCTCACGAGCAGCCCCCAATGTCAGTGGAGGTTTGTGCATTGCTATGACACTGAACAGGTTTCAGTGGAACTTCCAGATTAAGATGGACTAGGAAGAAAGGTCTTGCAATCTACTTCTGAAAATTAGCCAATAAAAACCCCATGGATCACAACTGATATGTGGAGATAGTGCAGGACTGGGCAGCGTTTGAGTCCATTGAGCATGGGGTCCTCATAAGTCGGGGACTGATTTGATAGCAGCTAATAACAACAATGACAACAACAACTTAATAGCAGCTGACAACAACAACATCAATAATTTTTCAAAGGCCCAATATAATCATCACAGGATAAATGATTTTTTTTTCTTTTTTTATATTCTATTTATTTTTGGTGGCAATATACACAAACATACATCCATTCAGAATTTCTACATAAACAGTTCAATAACATTTGTTACACTCTTCACATTGTGTCGCCATTCTGTCTCTACCCATATTGTTTCATCACCATTAATTTAGGCTCTCTGCCTCTTAAAGTTCTCATCTGTGCTTTAGAGTATCTGTTGTCAGTTTACAGTCATATAGATAATTCTTTATAGGAGTGTTATGCTTGAGGCAAACGTTCTTTATTAATTGGATTAAAACTGTTGTTTAGTTTAACAATGGCTTTATGGAATAGTTTTGGTTCAAGGTTTAAAGATTATTTCTGGGCATTATATTCAGGGGTTCCCTCAGTCTCAGTGGATCCAGTAAGTCTAGTTTCTTTGTGAATTTGAAGTTCTGTGCCACGTTTATCCTCCTTACAATCAGAATCCATCTGGGGTCCTTGATCAAAAGGTTCAGTAATGGTAGCTGGGCACCATCCATTTCTTCTGGTCTCATGGTAATGGAGGTACTAGTTTATGGAGGGAATTAAACCTGAAGTCCAGAGAAATGAATTTTTTTAAGTCAAAAGTTAACAAATAAAAGCATCTGAAATTTTAGAGCAAAGAATCCTTAAATGATTAGCATCATAGGATGTTTTTTTAAAGTTCTGCTATTATTTGCATGCACAGCTCTCTAGGAGGTTTGGAAGCAGACTTAGTGGCTCAGTGGGAGGGGAGGGAGATGAGGGAGTCTGCAAGCATGACCAAAGGAGCCTGGTTCAGCCGTCTGAGGACTACAGGGAGCTACAGAGCAGGGGCTGCCTCTGACAGAAAGCTCTGGAAGACAGTGATTTTGAATGTAGGTGCACAAACAAAACCAGTGATGCCAGTTTGGAGAAAAGTCAGTGCTTCTGAATGAGCAATTATCAGTGACATCCAAACTCTGTGTGAGACCCATTATCATCTAAGCGGTGGAACAGATTGTGGCGCTGTCAGACACCCTCTCATGTGCAGCTAGCTCTCCAAGGTGACCCTCAAGGACTTCTTGCAAATGTGTCCAAGGAATGGTGCTGGGGTGTCTTCCTGACCATGCATTTCTATTATTCAGTCAGCTGGGTCCTACATCTCAAAAGGCAGCACAGAAGTTCAGTCCTTGGGACAAACATGGGCAAAGCTGTCAAGGAGCAGAATAGAATGGAAATATATATGCTTCGAATCCCAGGACCTCAAAGGCTCCTGCCAACATGCTTTTTACAAGACGTCTAAAATGTAGGAGATTCAGGCTCACAATTTACGGAATTCCCACAGCACAACCTCTTGCCACACAGGTGTCAGAATGAGCCGTTTTTCCAAATGTCATTCATTTAAAAATTCACCAGGACCAGCACATTGGTGATGAGTGCCATGCTCTTGAGCTTCTTTTAAATTACCCATGAAGCCATGAATTTAAACAGAGGTCTGCACCAACTGGATACAATCAGCTTGGGCAGCAGAAACAGAGTAAGAAGGAATGAAATATTAGGGCAATTTTTAGCTGCTTATGCAGAAAACAAAAGCAGAGACTTGCTTGACTGTCTTGGAAGTGAAAATGGATCTGTTGGAGGTGCTGTTTCTGAGGTTATGGCTTCCTGGGGTGAGGCTGCCCGGGAAACTAGAGCACAGCTGGAAAGGGAACAGAAATGGAGCAGTGTAACTGGAGGCAGGGTGGTGAGGGCAAGGTATGAGGAAGAGTGAGAAAGGTGGACAGACCCTGTGTTTCAAGAACTCCTGGGGTTCTGAGGCGTGGTCAGCATGGTGGACTAGTTAGATGCTTCCTATATCCCTCTTACAACAAAGACCTGGAAAAACAAGTGATT